GTAAAAGTTTTGATCTGCTCTATCAAGTTACCATCCAGCCTGTTATTTTTGAGCTCATTTTGGGATTTATGTAACTTCTCCCTCGCTACTAGCAGCCTCTGCTTAATGTTACCAGTCTGTTTACTAAAGTTCTTGATGTCTTCCTTTAGTCTTTGGAGCTTGTACCATAGGACATGCATAGGGTCCCCACGGGCTGGTTTATCCCAGGAAGCCTTGACCATCTCTTTGAAACCATTGATGTCAATGAGATAATTGTTGAATTTAAAGTGATTCCTTCTTTTATCCTCAGTAGGCCCACTGATAAAGAGCAGGGAGTGGTCAGAAACATTGGGAGGCAAAATACTCAGCACATGCTCAGGATAGTGCTGGAACCATTCAGTATTGCAGATTGCCCTGTCAATCCTGGAGTAAATAGTACCAGTGGCATGCTTATTTGACCAAGTGTAGTGGTCCCCCACACTGTCCATTTCATACAGTTCAGTTTTTCTCATCATGCTAGCAATATCAACATATTCATAATCACTCACCATTTTCCCACCAATTCTATCCCTAGTTGTAACCACATTATTGAAGTCACCTATGGCACACCAAGGGCCAACTTGGTTAATGTGGATGTTTTCCAGCTTCCTCCAAAGAATTCTTCTCTTGTCCAATTGGTTATGGGCATAGATTGCAGTAAGCCAGAAGAGAAACTCACCTGTGACTGTGTAGATGCCACAGTGAATGTGTTGGCTAGACATGCTGTTCAGCTTCAGATCTAATTTTGTATCGTCCCAAAAAATCCAGTTTCGACCATTAGGATAGGCAGAGTAGTTATTGATGAAGGATCTGTTCATATTAAGCTTATCTCTGATTTTCTTAACCTTATTTTCTTGGCTTTTCTCAAAATATATAATTACAAGAAGAAAATAGAGACATCTCAACAAATTAACTAAAAAGAAGAGATAAAATCATCAGAAACTGTTCAACAACACAACCTCATATAATTCATTTATTTAAATAAAGAGTAATAATAAATTTAAATAATTGATTTAATATTCATTTTAATTTATTAAGTAAAGTGATTCATAATAAAATCGAGTAGTTCTTCCACTTGATTGATTTTAATTAATTATTAAAATATATGAACATCAAGATTATAATATCAATTATTTGCAATATCGCGTGTTATCAAATAGGAAAACATAGATAAATTTCTTTGTATTTTTAAATGAAAAGTATATTATAACCCAATAATTATCTAAGCATCTAAAATATTGTGAGAGATATGATTACATAAACCGACATTATCTCACAACATTTAAATAGAAAAATAATTAAACAATTAAATATAATAATTTAGACTCTCACTAATCCATAATATCAAATTACTTAACCAAATTTATATAGGTTATGTGCTTTAGAAAACTACAATAGTTAAGTATTTGATTAATGGATCTCCTAACACATTCTTTGTAGGAATGTGTTTAATTTAGAGAGTGAAATTCAATGATTTCATGTTAAAATTCTTTGAGCATGAAGAGTTATTAGTGTTCGTAGAGAAATACACAATTGAGTATATTAACGTTTGTTTAAGTGTGTAGGAAAATAGATTAATATTCTGATTCAAAATTGATTCTAATAATACATTGAACATTCAAAGAAAAATTTAAAGTTATTGATTGTGAAGATCATACTCTGAAAAATCAGTCTCTAAAGAGGTCAATTTTTAAAGACCAGAGTCTGAAGAAAAGTCAATATCTGATGGATCAAATTCTAAAGACTCCGACTCTGAATAACGTCAAGGATCAGAATATGAAAATCCTAGACTCAGATTAACTCAACCTCTGAAGACTCAGAGTCTGAAGGATCAGAAGCTAAGACTCATATTTTGAAGACTCGAAACCTGAGGCAAGTCAAAGCTCAAGAATCAAGAAACTCTGATAGGTCACTATCAGACTCTGAAGACATTTTGTCTTCTTTTGATCATTTAAAGACTTAGCATAAATTCCGTAGAAGACAGATGAAATGCAACTTATAATTCTTCTTATAGAAAATGAGTTTCAAAGGACCTTTCAACGATATTAACCATATTAAAAAGCTTTCCATTGGATCTGATGATGCTTCTCTTAAAGATTTTCTTGTGTAAGAAGTCTTCTCCAACGTCTCTTTGGTGTTCCTCTATAAAAGGAGCTGAAAAACTTGGATAAAAAACAATATTGCGCCTTGATAAATAAATAGTTGTTACTCTGTCAAAACGATTGCATCAGCTTAACTTAGGATTTCTTAACTCTTGTATATTCTAGAAATTCCTAAGTCTTAAAGTCTGTATTTGTTGTATTTTGTTTACACCTTTGATTAATATCAAGTGTAAGTCTCAGATAATCTTTTATTTGTTAGATAGATTGTAGGAAGTCTCTTGCTTGTATACTTGAGTATTGAAGTCTCTTGCTTGTGTGCTTGAGCATTGAAGTCTCTTGCAAGTGTGCTTGAGCATTGAAGTCTCTTATTTGTGTTCTTGAGTATTGAAGTCTCTTGCTTGTGTGTTTGAGCATTTGAAAGTCTCTTGCTTGTTTGCTTGAGCATTTGTAATCAGATTTAGTTATATTGAAAATTCCTTGGAAATTCAAGGGGATTGGACTACTCCTAATTTGTGGGAGGAACCAGGATAATTGTTTGTGTCTCTCTTTGTCTCTTATCTATCTCTTAACTATTTTTATCGATTGTTACTCATAAGACTCTGAATAAGATTCTAACCTTTTGTTCAGAATCTGATAAGAGTTCTTCATAAGAGAAAAATGAGAAAAAGTTAACACAATTCAACACCTCATTCTTATGATTTTTTCATATTCAATTGATATTAAATCAATTTTTTATATTTTCGAAAAAATGTGAATTTCTATATTTTTGAAAAAATATGATTTTTTATATTTAAAAAAATGATTTTTGAAATTTCTGAAAAAATCATTTTATTTTTTTGCAAATAAATGATTTTTAAATTTTCTAAAAAAATTAATATTTTTATATTTTCGGAAAAAAAATTCAATTTTTTGAATTTGGGAATTTTTTTTTGTATTTTCAAAGCAAAATCGATTTTGAAATTTTTGGATTTTTTTTTTTGCAATTTTGGGAAAAATTGATTATTTGGATTTTTATTTTTGGAAAAAACCGATTTTTCTTACTTTTGAAAAAATTTAATCTTTTGTATTCTCCAAAAAATCAATTTATTTTTCTATTCGCAAAAAAGTTTTTTTTTATTTTTTAGAAAAAATTAATTATTATTATTAAATTTAAATAGATCTAATGAATTTAAAGTATATAATAAAAATAATTTATTAATTTATTAAAATATGTTGAATGAATCAGATTAATCTAAACATATAAATAGATAGATTTAATCTAATCAATTAACTTATTTTTTATGTGATCGATGAATTTGATAATTTTTTGTTGAATAAATTGAATAAATTTTAATGGATTCAATTGTCACTTTTAATTGTAATTTTTCATCCTAGTGTAGAAGTACTTTTCAGAATGGAATGAGTAACCTCAAAAATATTTGTGGATTACTCTTTCAACTCTTAAAGATGCGTCTCATACCTTTGATAATCTGGAAAATAATTTACCATGTTCTAGAGATATATGCATCTCCAACCATATTTAAAATCACACAAATAAAAATATTACAAGTATGACACGTATATTTTATAGAAAAACAAAATATTTGAAGATGTTTCTCCGAATTTTAAAAATACATCTTAGTAAAGTGTAGAGATATGATGCAATTTAATAGTCTTCTGCAAAATGCATCATGAAGCACTTAGAGATGAAATCTTATTCCACTTGCGGTCCTTTTTGGTGGTGTATCGATGCATTTGTCGCACTAGAGCCAAAAACATTTGGGGTCTGTTGACCCGCAGTGAAACATAAATAATCTCTTGCACTTGGATTTGCTTGCTTTGAAACAGAACTTTGCATACTCCGGCTTGAATGCAGTCCTTTGGATTTATGATTCAAAGAGGACTTTGGACGCTCTCTTACATACTTTTTATGTAATTATTACGATCTAATTAGCTCCATGGTTCGTAAAAGGATTAGCAATTTCAGTATCTTCAGATTTGAAGCTAGCATTTTACTCTGACATTAAGTGTTCCATGATGCATAAATTACATAACACCTGCGCAATTTAAGAATCGTAAAACTTGAATCAAATGTTTTTTAATGAGGATAGGGTGATTTCGGGTTTTGTTAACTTTAATAATTTTCTCTTTACCTACTCTAAATTAATTATTTATTTTAATTATTCAATAACCTCTTAATTACAGTAAATAAATAACTTATTTTAATTATTCATTTACCTCTTAATTACACTAAATTTAAAAAGTTATTGCTACAGTAAAATCACTTAATCCTCTCTCATTTTTTCACTCAAAACAACTGTGTATCTATCTCAAAATTATTTTCATCCATAAAAAAGAAGAATGCATCCATTTTTGAAGACTTCGAACTATTCCAAAACCCCTTCTTTTTTTACTTTTGAAGACTTCGAATTTGTTTTATATTAAAATATTTTTTGTATAACATATATTGCTATATAATACCACTAACACTATAATTATTTATCAGTATATACTTGGATAAGTAACTTTTAAATGCCCACTTTATATAAAAGAAAAAAGATGAAATAAATAAAAATGCCGAAAAATACCAACCTTATGTGGTTCCCACTATAAGAATCATAAACTCGGCTAGTAAAATCAAAAGTTTCCGGATTTTATCGGAATTTGCTTAAACTCTCAAGAGTTTGCCAAATGAGAATTTACATGTGAGTTACTTTAAACTCGCAAGAGTTTGAGAGTAAGCTCTGTTGACATCGGCTTATTGCAGAAATAATTTATGTTTTCAACTGAACTTCTATCTGAACATCATCTACTAGTTTTCATTTTAAACTTCACTAAACAGAATATTCATATAAACTTATAAAAACTTTCTATAAAGCAGAAGCTATTCCAAAGTGAATCCTAATCAGCCATTTGTAACCCAAAGTGTTCCTTTAAAATATTTTTTGGTGTCATACCAAAACCACTGGCCACCTTTTTCATATCTTCAAATTTCACAATTTCTCTTCTTATCTGTTCCTTCAATTCCCTGATAGAGCGGTACAAGGGCTCTGACTGAGTTAAGTTAGGGCATTCCAGTTCAGACACTACACTGTCTAACTGCTCATACAAGTTCTTCAAATTCAACTTCTGTGCCTTGAGTTTTTCTTTCGCCACCATATATTCCAGCTCTTGTGAATTTCTAAGTCCCACCAGAATGTCATCAATCTCAGCATCAAGTTTCAAAGAACGTGAATGATAATCATTAAATTCCTCCCGTAATCTAGCATCCGAATGGATTTCATTCATTGTTACTTCCATTGGATCAATGCCACGATGTGGTAAGCCTGATTGTAAGCACAAATGTTCAGTTCTAATACACCGGTGCAAAGAAATATGAATTTACAAGATCAATAGTGTTGACAGTCACAGAAGTCAAAGATTATAAACATTCACTTTCTGTGTGTCTAAAGTCTTACAAGAGTATATAAGCATGCAACCATTGATGTGAGTGGCAAGTAAAAACTAATCAGCTAGGGATTAGGAAAGGACATTTACCTTCAGAATGAGCCATAGGACTGTCATCTCTCTTCCTCTTCTTCTTCATAGTTTCACCATTAGTCACACATTTGAGCTGGTACAAAATTATCAACTTAGTCATAACAAGTCTTACAATATGTAACATATTTCAAAACAAGAAGTTTTTTGAATTTTATTTCTATCGTCTAAACTCATTTGAAAGATACCTTTGAGATGGCCAATTCAACACTGTTCAGAAGCGTCTTTGCGGCAGGTTTAGTTGAACCGCGCAAGAGACAAGCACCAAGATCTAAAACCTTCTTCTTAATTTCATCATCCAAATCTACAGTTATACTTTTACATATTTGAACAAATCTTTCAACATGAGAGACAAGATCAGTTCTCCCATCACATCTTCGGCAATGGTACTCAGCGTCTAAACCAATACTTTTCCCAACCGTACCAGCCAAAGAAGACCTCAGAGCACATTCCAGATGAGCAACATGGCCACATATTCCCGCGCCAGCATTTACCGGGCACTTAATATAACTATACCCGCCATGAGCAGTACTAACAGTTTTGCAACAAAGAATGCAGGAACAAGCACGGCAAAACCCAGACTCAGAACAACAAATATCACAAGACATGGGCGGGGAATATTTTATCGCCACTCCAAAGTTCAGGCTGTCGCACATTTGATTCCCCGCTCTACACTTCAGAATATCAGTCCTGCCTTCATCAGAGTCATATTCTCCTACTGCCTGTGGTATCTGTTGAAGAGGTACGGCAGCTATCGGCACCACATTGCCTCCTACCATACAATTTTAAACACCAACAAGAGTTATTAAGCTAAGTGAACATCTCAAGACAGACACAAAAATCTATATTTAAAATACAATAATAAAAATTAATTACGTATTAGGGTAATTGAATTGAGATTAGCATTAAATAAAAAAATCAATTCATAAAATCGGAGGTGTAATTGAACTTAGCGAGAATCTAATTTCGAAATTCAATGAAATCCCCCAATTTTTTCATCTGAAAATTGAAAACGAAAATCACGCATTGAAACCATTATAGATTCATACAATTAATGAAATTGAAATCAAAATGAATAGATCGGTAGATTAAAAACCTAAATTCTCGCAATAAATGAAGAACACGCATAAGAATCGAATTGAATAATCAAAAAACATTGAATAAATAAATGATCTGGTGTTGGTTACCGTTGGTAGAAGGCTGAGCAGCCGGAATCCTCCATGTGAAAGAAGCGAAAAACTTATTGACATCAGCGTCCGGAAAAGTGGTCTTAATGAACCGTTCAACGGAGAGCTTGCTGGCGAAGATGTGACGTTGTTTGCGTTTGGATCCTCCATTCTCCGTCTGACTCAATCGAAGCGGTAAATAAAGGTACCGATCCTGAAAGCATAATCCGTTAGTCTGAAGTCTTTTCCCTGATTTCCATCCCCAGGTATCACCAGGCTCCGGCCAATTCTCCGGCGCGTATGGTAAACCTTCGCCGGTTTCATCAGCAGCTGCTGGCCGGAGATTCATTTCAGATAGTTTTTCGAAGATCTTGTTCCTCCCCATCGGAACTAGGGTTCTTGATTCTGTGGATTGTGAAAATGAAGAGAGAGAGAGAGAGAGAGAGAGAGAGAGAGAGAGATGAGTTAAATAAAAGGAGTAGCTGAAGTAACGGTTTCACAGTGATGCGATAAGAAATGTTTTATTTACGCAAAACAAACTCATGCATTGTATTCAAGTTACAAGTGGTACTCTGGTTATAAAGAAAAGATTTACAGCGTACAAGTGTTACTGAGTCAGTAACAATTAATAAAATAACAAATGTTGTTCAATTGAGACAATAAGGTATTTCCTCCAATTTAATAAACTACCCATATATGTTTATTTTACATATCGGTTTGGTTTTTTTTAGACACTAATGTAAATTTTATTTATTTAAATATTTTTTTCCTATAATATCTTTGACCATATATATTACGATTTTTAAATAATCCATATAAGTTAATAATTAAAATGTAAAATAATACATTAACTTAATTCAAACTATCTAAAATATATCACAAATTATCCAATGTAACACACAAAATTAAATAATTTATTTTAACAAATTTTAAGTTATAAATATTCATGACAATTAAAATTTTATAACAATTATAATTAGATTGATGTGATATAATTTTATAACAAATTATTATATATGTGATTTGTACTAACTCTATCCTCCCATAAAAATTATATCAAAGCTTTTTAAATCTCATTTCAACTTTATTTTAAATTAGAATACGTCATAGTATCTTTTCTATACTATCTACATAATTATATTAGGATGAAACATTTTAGTTTGAAATTAAGTCAAACCAACAACTTTTGTTTGATATTTATACCTTTATAATACCAAAAAACTTAAAATATATAATACGCAAATTATTTATAGTATATCTAGAATTTTATCACTTTACACATCGAAATTGTTCATTTATACCAATTGACCATTTATACTATACGGGCTCAAAAAATAAGGTATAAATTATTTATGAGTTAGGAAAGGATAATTTTTAATTATATTAAAAAAAAATTCTGGCCGACAGGCTACCCATGGCCCATACGGGCTGGCCCATATTTTTTAGGGCTATTTCGGGTCGGACTAAAAAAGGTCCGGAAGTAAATTGGCTCGAAATATAAGGCCCAGACCCTAACTTTTTTTGGGCCTTATGGATCGGTCTGTGGGCTTCGACCATTTTGACAGCTCTTCATGGGAAGCCTAACAAGAATGAGTCTACCCTTAACCTACGTCGGGCAGGATCTCCTCCCCTCACATTGATGACCTATCCTCCACGTATCTTCCGAGGACATCCACGCCACTTGACTACTGAGGAGGATCAACGGTGCAGGTGGTCATCACAACGCGACATCCTCGCAGGGCATACACCCAACGTCTTTAAATATCACAGAGTCCTCTCGACCCCGAAAATACTGCACCCGCATCTCTCTGGTATTTTGGGGTACTTCACCCAGGATGGAGACCACGTGCTGGTCTTCACTACACACATAGGTCTTGGCAGTCTCTATTTTGGGCCTGTCTAGTAAGCCTAACATGGGGACCTTGGCCCAGCACTGGGGGATATAAATACCCTCTTACACTAGAGATTCAGGTATTCATTCATTCACACTCTTACTCTCTACTTGCACTTTACTCTGAACCTTATTTTAGCATCAGAGTGTCTTGGATGTACCCCCCACTTCACCTTCATCCACCGTTCAATTCTAGTTCGTGGGCCATCGATGATCCTTTTTTATCAGGTACGATCAATGACGTCGTCTGTGGGAAAACTACTTCCCCGTTTTCTTCTAAACTAAAGACCAAAGCAAACTTTTAACTTCCCGATCGCCATTGTCGATCAACTCAACAACTGTGACAAGAATGTCCACTTTGTCGACATCGGCAACAAAAACAATAACATTGGCGGCCACGAGCACGACAACAGAGATGGGAGGACTGCCTCCTCCTCCACCTGCGAGCAACCGCTTGATAACCCTCACCGATGGGTGGAGGAGCCCGTAGTGTACCACGAAATACCGGTGCCCACCAATGCTGACCCCACGACACAACCCCTGTTCGTGGCGATCAATCAGACCAACTACCTGACCTTTGTGCAGGGAAAACATATCGAAATACTAGATAGAACCTGCTGATCTCACTCTTTTATAAGATACTGAAGACCTCACTTATGCACTCTGTCTCCACGATAACGTAAGGCTCATTCACGATGTCCTCCGTGGAGACACCGGCGGGAGGAATATCACAGCTCCTCTCCCCGTCGTATTGGGTGAGAACCTCGACTGGAGAAGACCCAACTTGAAATCGTCAAGAAATATGATCACACTCCTCCGTGCAAAGAGAGATGATCCCCTGTTCATAAGGGGAACAATGGCAAAGAACACCTCGAGAAGACGAGGACTCGTGCAAGGGATTCTCCCAGAAGAGTCCCCCACTTCGACTCTTTCCCGTCTCATTCTCCGGACATAAGCGATGAAGACGACCCCTGTGGTCCGCTGTCTCGAGAAATTATGGAGGCCCATATTCCTAAGGGGATGGAGAAACCTCCACCCTTGAACACAAATGATGATGCTACAGATCCAGACGACCACCTCTAAAGCTTCGAGGTAATGCTCATCTTCCATATTGTCGGGGGTGCCATCAAGTGCATATTATTCCCCTAACTCAGAGGAAAATTGCTATGGACTGGTACAAAAACCTCACCCCGAGTCCATCACATTGTGGAAGAGTCTGAAGACCCAGTTCACCGGCGGCCTCACGATGACACCCAAAAACCGAGGCATCCCTAGAGGCAATCGTTTAAGGGAACGACGAACCCCTCTGAGCTTACATATAGTGGTTCAACCGTGAGGCCATCTAAGTCCCCACAACCGACTACGTGAAGAGGTACCTGCTTGAGAGAAGACTCTGCTCGGGAAGCAATTTCAGAAAGGAAGTCAGTATCGAGACTTCAGATTGTTGGATGAACTCCTCCAAAAGACCCGGTATTATATCACGCATGAGGAGAAGGAGGCCGCCAATAGTGCTCACGATCCCAGAAACCATGAAGGACCAAATAACTCGAGGTATAATAATGTTGGGTTGTCTCGACGAGCGGGGAACAAGAGAAAGGATGAGAAACCCCGTGACTCTCATGAGCATAGAGGCCTATCTGGATGTTTCACTGATTACACCCTGCTCCCCGCAAGCGTATCCTCGCAGAGCGTGCCAATGATGAAGTTAATGAAGGAGGGGTTCGACAACACAAACTTGTGCCTCTCAAGCCCTGGGTCGATAGGACCAAATACTGCCAGTACCACTGGAGTCATGGCCATGTTACTGAGGATTGTGTCCACCTGAAAGATGCCATCGAGACCCTCATTAAAGCAGGACGGCTCGGAAAGTACAAAAGGAATGACGCCCCTCTCTGTGACAATCGAGAGGTAAAAGAGATCGTGGAGGAGACACGACCCTCCGACAAGGCTGGCCCCCTCCAAGTCGCCTTGTGCATTTCAAGACCCGATGACTTCTACATCCCCGACAACGTCAATGACGAGGAGCCCTTATTTACCCACAGTAGGTGGGAGAAGTGTAAAAGCAACCTTCTCAAATGCACTTTTGTTTTGATGAAGACAAACCATGATTTTCAAAGAAGGCAAAGATTTTTGACTCAGCTAAAAGCATCTGTGAATAAAGTCTTCAGTTCAAGCACTTAGCAAAATTTCAAGGTATAATGATAATACTTACTTTGAACTTAAGACATAGATGCTCAATGGCAAAAAGAAATATTCTATATTGTCCAAACCTTTACTCAAGTTTTTCTAAGCTAAAAATCATTTTTCACTTGAGTGCAATCGATTTGCATATTAGTGCAATCGATTGTATGCTTCAATTTTTTCAAATCTTTTGCTACTGTTTCTCAGTGCAATTGATTTGCATGTTTGTGCAATTGATTGCACTCAATCAATTTTTGCTACTGACTTCACATGTAATGGATTTACACTCTTGTGCAATCTATTTCACACTCAAAACTTTTGAAATTCTAGCTGTTGAAACCCCGTGCAATCGATTTACACAAAGGGCGCAATCGATTGCATGCTGCACGATTTTGAAAAATAGCAGCTTTGCACATGCCTGTTCATAACACCATTTCATGGAAACCTTTCACTCAATATTAGCAATTGTTCATGATTCATTTACAGAACTTTATGTTGTTTTAAAAAGGTGTTATGGACATATAAATACTCATTTTCAAAATCATTTTCTACACCTCTTCCAATTATACTTTCTGAATTTTCAAAAATCAAACTCAAGCTGCTATACATTTTCATACACAAGTTTTCTGCACACTTTCACATATTATTAACCAGAAAACTTTGAGCATTATACATCTTGAGTCATTGTATACTATTATCATTGGAAGAGAAGATCAATTAATTGATTAAATCACTCAAAGTGATCATTACTACTCAAACTCACTCAAATCAAATATTGATAAATACTTACTTATTTTTCAGGATTGTTGGAAATAAGTTTAAGTGGTTTTATAAATTTTGTCTTTACAGGATTGTTGGATACAAGTTAAGTCACTTTGAGAGGATTGTTCTAATTGTTTACATAGTGAAAATCCAATAGGATTGTTCTTGGTCCAAGAGGATTGTTCTTGGTTTTGGGTAGTTCTTGTTTAAGTTTGCCACAATAAGAAAATCTCTTTCATGTTGAAAGGGGACTGGAGTACTCTCGGACTGTGAGGGGAACCAGGATATTTCGCTTGTGTCTCTTTATTTTTCTTCACTTTACTCTTTCATACACTCACCATAATCCAGAAAAATAATATCCATCATCACTAAAACCAGAATTTTTTAAAGTACCTAATTCACCCCCCTCTTAGGCGCACTTCGTACTTACAAGAAGTTCCCCTTTGCCATGGTCATATCTGGTGGGGGATTCGGCGGTTTCAATGTGAATTTAGAAAAAAGAAAGTTCAACAAGCTGATAGATGCAGCCCTGTTCCAGACAGTGACCCTTG